TTCAATGTGAAAAAGGAGAAATGAGGGAATGAATTTTATCAAATACTTACATTAAACAACTTAATATAATACTGTAATTTTTTATGTTTGTAGATTTATATTTTGTTGTCCAACTTTGCACTTTTCTGTTCACTGTCTCAATGATACATGGATTTATTTTTTTATTGCATATCAATTGTTAATATTTTTTATTTATTTGTAATTTTTTTTATTGGGCACCCCCCTACATCCTGTGCAAGGTGAAGCGCAGAAGCGCTTACAGCGCCCATCTACGAAGCATGCTAAGTTCATGCTTGCCTTTATGTCTCACGAGTTAAGGGCGTAGAAGCCTGAAGAGTCATAGGTTTTTTGTCAGTAAGTTATTGGAAGCTCCAACAACTTTCCCTGAATACGAATTCGCAACTTTTCGATTTACAACAGGTACCTACTTTACTGCTAGGTGAACAGGGACCAAGGGGGGAGGGGGACTAGGAAGTGTGTCCAAACAACTTTCCACCGGCTCGGGAATCGAACCCGTGACACCTCGCTTGCGAGGCAAGAGCGGTACCACTCTACCACCGGCGCCCCCCAATTGCTAATTTAGCACCTTCATATCCAGACTGGATATGAAGGAGCAGGCTTGAGACGCAAATCTAAACCGATGTTGGATATCTTCATTGATGTCCACGGTGGTGGACAGGTGGGAGCCAAGGTACTGGAAATGATTAACAATTAAGAGCGTGGTCCCGTTAACCTGGATGGGTGGTGGAGGAGTGGCTGAACCAGGGGCGGGTTGGAACAAACATTGTCTTGGGTACGCTCACCTCAGTGCCGAAGTGTGCATTCGCGTCTACGTTGGTGCTGAGGATCTCCCGTGGCCAAGAAAATGGAAAAGGGAGTTGATGCCAGTAAGCACCCTTGTTTTACCCCCGTTTTGATTGAGGAAGAACCGCGACTGAGTGATATTATGTAGGAGTTGCCTCACAATGGCGATGAATTTCGGTGGGTAATCAAAGCGACTAATGGTCGCCAAGGGGCTTCCCTGTTGATCGAGACAAAGGCTTACTTAGGTCAATAAAGGCCATGTATACCTACAGGTCTCTGCACATACACACAGAGATACACACTGCAGAAAAATTTCGGTACGTTCAGGTGAACAGCAGACACCAGTGTACACAAGACTGGGTGGTGTATTACCACAGTTACATAAACAGTACACCAACGCTTGGCTGTTTCAATTAGGTTGAGAATGGCGAGTGATTCACCGGAACATGTACGCAGAAAGAATGGTGTTTCTCAAGACACTATCACGTGAGTGTGATTTAATACTCAAATAAATTATATATATGTAAGATGTGAATTTCATTCATTATTCCAAAATTATGATAAAGTATAAGGGAATGACGATAAAGTTTAATTGATTTTATTACCTTGACAAATCATGTAAAAAAAAGCCAGTCCTAGAATACAGTGGCGTCATCAACTGTGTTTCATGACTACGAACGTTACTGTCCACACTGGGTTATTACTCGTAGTAAGTGTACACATACACACTACACCTGGCGTTATTTTTAGTGATGGAACAACAGATAAGGTATGCATACTTATTTTAGCTCTAAATTTATGCCAGGTTAAAGCATTATCTACACCAGGACGTTAGGCGTGGGGGCCGGCCAGTGAGGGCAGGCATGATAATGAGATATTATTGGTCATCATTGCCCCACAAGAGCCAGCACATTATCGAAAATCGTAGGGTCAGGACCTCAGCGTGCCAGTCCCGGCTGTTGCCAGGGTGAAGGCTCGTCCTGGCATCTTTATGAGGAGACTCTTTCATTTTTCTTTTAGATCAATAAATTCCTAGTACAACACTCTGATATCCCATACCCGGCTATTACAGACGTGCTAGGTAGGTACGCAGGGTCGAGCAAGCTCATCTGGGAGGAGTCAGGCGACAGAGTATGCGCCTGGTTTTTCCCTACAATTGTTGCTGTACGAGACTGTTTCTCCTTGGCAGCGTCGCTTGAATCATCAACCACACTCACGATTCATGTGGCTACGGTGTTTATAGAAATAAATCTAAATCGAACTTCGCGTCTACTCTGACAATATCAACGTGGAAAAAACACTAAATACTGCTACTGTTGTGCTTGTGATGTAAGCGACAAGACCGTGTTGGTAGCAGGATGGTGGCCCAGCGGTGACAGCAACAGACAGTGACAACAGTTACATTTCAAAGCAATAGGTAGCAAGAGAGCAAGTATTTGGCGAAAATATCCAGTGGAAGAAGAAAGACGTAGGCGAGCAAATGGGCGAGATCAAGAAGAACAAGGTGGGGCCGGAAACACCGAACAAAGGAAGAGGACGAAGAGGCGGGTCACCAGGTCGCCCACCTCCCACTCTCCGCCGTTCGTCGCTCATCAGCTTTGAGGGAGAGGATGAAAATAGCAGAGTTGAGGTAAGACTGTATGGGCGCTGTGTTGCCAGGGTCGTTACGTGCCTGGAGACGATTGTTTTACTGTGGTTGAATGTGACCATCATGTAAGAGAAGACTGACATGACCCAACACTGTGCAGCTGTCACTCTCATGCTCTGGCGACATTCAACCTAAACACCACCGAGGTTCTTATGACCTGTAATGAGGGCCCACATACAGTCACACCTGTGTCTTAAACTTAACATAATGAACCTAAAAAGTATTGATCAATCAAATAACAACGACACGTGGCTAAGAATACAAAATACGAGTAAGAAAATCAATACCTCACATGTATACGTTTAAATAAAGGTAATTATTGATGTATTAACTTACAGGAGCAATCACGTGTAGAAGTATCTTACAGGTAGTTATAGGAGAGGGCCGCGTTCTTTGTGATAACGATGGACAGATATTCCGAAAATATATGATAATAACCCTAGTTAAGAAACCTTTACTTAATATAATGTAAGAAACGATTAACTCAAGTGACTGGTAAAACTTCACCATCTTCTAAAATAACCAAGGTTCTGTTAGGTCATCAAGGTCACATCAGGTCATATCAGAGGTCATCAAGGTCATATCAGATCCATCAAAGATATATCAGTGGTCACAAGGTCATATTAGAGGTCATCAAGGTCATATTAGAGGTCATCAAGGCCATATTAGAGGTCATCAAGGTCATATTAGAGGTCATCAAGGTCACATTAAAATAGAGGTAAAGAAGGTAAGTGACCTATGACCTGCTGGGGGTAGCTGGGAAATTTAACGAGTCTTCCCGAAACTTTGCGGCCAATCTATTAACAAGACACGTAGGTTAGGTTAGGTTAGGTTAGGGTAAGAACATAAGAATGGAGGAAATTGCAGCGGGCTTATTGGACCATAGTGGGTAGTCCCCTTTGCACCCAACCCCTAACGCTCGTATGTCCACCCAACCTATATTTGAAGCTGCCCAGTGTGTTCGAGTTAATGATGATGTTTGATAACTTGTTCCATTCATCCACTACTCTATTTCCAAACCAATGTTTACATACCTCGTCCCAAAATCTGAATTTGTGTAATTTAAAACCATTACTACGAGTTTGTTCCTGGTTGGATAATTTGAGTACCTTTGTTATATCGCATTTGTTTAGCCATTTATACACCTCAGTCATATCGCCCCTCACTCTACGTCTCTCGAGGGAGTGTAAATTCAGATGTTTTAATCTGTCTCTGTACTCAAAAGGAACCCTGAGTACAGAGACAGATTAAAACATCTGAATTTACACTCCCTCGAGAGACGTAGATTGAGGGGCGATATGACTGAGGTGTATAAATGGAAGTCAGGGCTAAACAAAGGTGATATAACAAAGGTTTAAGAAGGTTAAGTTAAGATAGGGCAGGTTAGGTTACGATAAGTTAGGTGAGGTTAAGTTAGATGAGGTTAGGTTAAGTTACGTTTGGATAGGTTAAGCTATGTTTGATTATGTTAGGTTAAGTTTCAGAGAGTTTGTGTATGTAAATGATTGAAAAACCTGTGTGTGTCTCAAGGGATGGTTCTGGCGATGCACAATCTCGTCGTCTCAAGCATAAAGTGAAGCTGTAGCAAAATACACAGAGTTAAATGCGAGGCGTAGAGAGAGAGAGACAGAGACAGAGAGAGAGAGAGAGAGAGAGAGAGAGAGAGAACAGACAAACCTAAGGAGTAAACGTCTTTTTGCGATTGAGTAAATGAAAATATGTTTATATAAAGCATACGTTCCTAACTTTACAGACTTAAAAATCATGTACGGGGAGTTAAAGTCATCTTGGAGTGAAAAGCGCCACAGGTGAATTAGATACCCACTTAGTACTTCCTCCCAATTATTCAAATGTTTACCTCGTCACCAAACCACTGTTGCAATATATTAAAATCTTCAGTGAGGATTTTATAAATTTAATGGCCGTATTCACAATCGACATGCCCGATGGTGATCCCAACCTTCGGGAAGTGGAAGCTCATGGTGGCAGGCGGTATTCAAGAACATGCTTCGGGCACTACGATGGGTCGAGGTCCCGAGCCACCGGGTAGGGCAAAATGGCCGGTTGTTGGTATGCTGCGAGTCACTGTCACGTGTAAACAAACGGCACTTGATTTAATATATTTCAGGATGTCAATTTTACATTCGGTTTTACTTAATTTATTACCCATCCTTGAATATTGTGTCTCAGATTGGTTCACAGCTGCAGCGCGCCACTAAAAAATAATTTATACGGTTGTGAATGAAGCTATATTCCTTTGTGGTGAGGCTGACTGGGTTAATATTAAGCATCGTCACTGTTGGTGCTTTGTGCTTACTTCATGAAATCTACTTGGACCCTAATTATCCCTTTCAATAATTCCTCCAAGAGCCTTGTATCCCGGCCACATGTACAGTTGCCAGCAAAAGTCCTCCCACTAACTTTCTACACAGGGCTGTGGGAGAACTATTGCTGGCAACTGTACGTGATAGTCATGGTAAATTAATCTGTAGGGTCGCGGCCTTAAAAGTGATTTAACAGAATAAATTTAGAATGTGAAGAAATACATTATTCCGGTGACCAAAAAACAAATTTCGAACATAAAACAAACCTAACCTAACTTACAACTCCTGTATATCTTCCTTTTTATTGAAAAGTTCCGAGTGTATTACCAGGATTTCTTTAAGTTTTCGGTAATAGGTTAGGTTATCTTAGTAGTTGTGAAACGTGAGAATAGCCAAACCTAACTCCTCTCATCTGGATACATGACTTTTCCATCCCAACTTAACATCCCGGCTACTTAGCCTCAAGTTATTCCAGTATTGTAAGGGGGGGGGAGTATCACTCAACACAAGTTGCCCTTGAAGAGCGGGGGCACACTACTACTTCGGCTGAACCACCGAGCCCACCCTTATCTTACTCATACTTCTCTCTGTCTTAGTTCCTTCAATTGTTCTTTCTACTTTTCAGTTCATGGTTACTACATAACCTCAGTTCTTTGGTAGCATGGCGAGGGTCAGGGCACATGGGTACTGTAATTCTGATATCAAGTCACTTGGACGGAAATAAAGGTGGAATACTGAGGTGAAATGAACACCCCCTAATATACTCTAAGAAAAAGTTTATTAATATGAAATCAAAGTAGGGAAAAAGATGGCATTAACATACAACTCCAAGGTGCAACTCCCCGGCTTTACTCAACTGCACTTTACTCAGATACTGTACTCTTATTACACACAACCTTACTGGTGTTACATTACATTACATACAAGGATCAATTCCTTTGATCTACTCAACTGCAGTTCCACTTAGATACTTTTACTTCTTACTGCATTACTAGGTACATTGCACTACATACATGACCCAGAACAACCCTTGGCTTCTCTTAACTGCCAATCCAAGTGGGTACCTTACTTCTCACACATTACTGGTGTACCTTACAGTAACAGTTACCAGGATCAACTCCGTGGCTTTACTCATCTGTCACCCCAATCAGATATTCTCGCTTCTTACAACATTACTGGTGTTACATGGCATTACATTACATTACCAGACAAACCTGCATCTGATACATTCACTAGACTTTTGTTAGTACATACGAGATGCACTCACAACACCCAACACGTTACTACTGATACCAACAACTTATACATGGGTTCACTACCCAACATGGGGCAATTATATTCCAGAATTATTCCCAAACATATACAACAAACACTGTGGACCATAACTTCAAGGCATGTCCCAGAGTGGAACACTCAACAACTGACGACCGTTGTTGTGGTCGGTTGTACTCCGACACGTGGCGGGTCTGGGGTCTAGCCCCACTATGTTGACTTGCAGTTTATCAGGCCGAATCAACGACATCGTCCATATATAGCCGACTGCTAGGTATCCACCGACTCCGGGCAGCCGGGGGGTGTTCAAAATAACCCACACACTGGATCCGAGAGAAATGGAGGGAAGCGTCACGGTAGGAAGCATGGACTCAAACACAAACAAACTCTCGTCTAGCAACGTCAGACGACATTTACCTTATATTACTTCTCACACTGGGTGAATGACAATTACACTGTTACAACATGAACACTGATATTCACACAATTGACTAAGTTGAACTGAAAGACTATATCGGAGGGGAACACTTGTCTGATATACCCGAGAGAAATGGAGGGAAGCGTCATGGGAAGCTCGCCCTTCTCACACAGGGTTTATATACCCGTGAGTTGCCAGAGATTGCTACTCACGCAATGACAAAAATCACAAACAAACCAACTGCTACTCATTCAAAGATGACCCTCACTTGACAAAGGTCTGGCGAATTACTTAAGTCGATTTACATAAACTAATTCAAGATTGAGCTTGCCAGGAGAAAGTGGAATACACGTATTGACAACTGTCTTCACAAGGCCGGACTTGGAGGGAGGGATCCTTGGTGTAAACGTCGAGAGAGAAAAGCGAGTTTCTTCTTATGGGTAGCTAACCAGCTACCCATTCATGTTTTGCGGTCGTGGAGTATAATAAGAATCAACAGGGTTAAAACAGGCTAGAAGTCAATGTGACCATGACAGTATACCAGCTAGGAATTCCTAGTTAAGTAGCTACTTTCTCTTTGTATCATGACCCAATCTTTTCGATGTATTTACCAGTTTGTCATAACAAAGTAAAGGAATACAGATATAAACCTTCCACCATCAGTTATCGTGTATATTAACATGTAAAATTGATAAACGTGCATAACCCTAACGATATCTATAATTATACAGGCAAGATCTACTTGTAGAGGTCCTCTACAAGTAGATGTTACCGTTTCTTCTCTAGAATACTACCTACAGTCTTCGAGACACGAGTAATGGTGACGCGGTTTTTGTTGATGCCCGTTGCACGCTCAGGATCAGCCGAGATTATTAAGCACTTGTAAATAACGGATAATCTTTGAATATATATGAAAACAAGACTTTCTATTACAACAAACTCATTTTCTATCAGTTTTAAATATATTCTATCTCAATATATAAAAATATGGAGGGTGAAAAAAATTATATAACCCGATCAGCCGGGTAGTGTAATGACTGTGAATACCGCTGTAAGAGAAGAGGCAAATGTCAGCTTAAGATCATTACTATAATTTGTTCACTCGAAGCTTGCATCTGAGGCTTAGGGTCAGTTTGCAGCAAAGCAGTTGATTGGTTGGCGGACGGACACTTGAAGAATCATTACAGTTCCTTAGTATATAATTTAGCGTATTTATATACTGATATTTTAAGGGAAAAACAACTATTCGGTGTTGATATTTGATAATATCCGCTCTTGGGGAAGCAGTAATTAGCATGAGAAACGTTCTGGTAACAAATATCTTGATGAGAACAAGAAAAATACGTCCCAGAATTTGTTCATAATTTTTGTGTTCTCTTTATTATATTTTTATTACCAAAGTATTTCATATGATAATTGTTGCTTCTTCAAGAGCGGAATTTATAACAGAGATCAACACAATAGTTATTATCCCTTCAAACGTCATAATATAAATACGATAGATTAAATACTGACCCTAGGCCTCAGTTGCAAGCTTCAAGTCAACAGACCATAGTTCTTTCATCGTCAAAATTAGAGAACAAGAATTTGATACAAGTTTTACTACGGCAGGTTAGCGTTGTTCCTAAAGATTGTTTACTCTCATGAAGAAAACTGGCAGGCAGGTCTCACAGGAGGGAGAAATGAATACGATATTTGAACGAAGAAGCTGACATTTGAACAGACAATATTCATGTAGAAAAAAAGCTCCTACACTAAATTTGGAATGTTTAATATAATAATCACTGAACTATATGAATTAAGAGCCGTTTCATAATCGATGACAGCATATAACGAAAATTTGTATCCACCATACCACTATCTTAATATATATATATATATATATATATATATATATATATATATATATATATATATATATATATATATATATAAACTTGTAGTCTAAGTTACTTTACTACTAAGTCTTGTCTGCTGTCCCAGTTGTTATTTAAAGCTATGGATGACGTTTATTGAAGATTTGTCGATTTTTTAGCGTAAGTGTAAGTGTTGTGATAGCTGTCATCATGCACCAGGTGAAGACCGGGTGCTGCGGACTGGACCCCACCACGGGCAGGGGAAAGCAGATCCATCTGCTACAGATCTTGTTGCTGCCCTTCATCCCCATCATGGCGCTCATCATCCAGAACTCCATCAACATGGTCACCGTGCTCGAGTACCAGTATGACATGCAGGAGACCATTGACCAGGTGAGACACAGACAAAGGCAAGACAGGAAAGTATAGTATGAGAGTCGGTCTGCAGGAATATTTGACCCTGGAGGATGGTAGAGGGAGGAGGCGGAGGATTTAAAACGGAGTTCATTGGTATGGAAGGACAGAGAGAGAAGTGAAGATAGACAGACAGACAGACAGACAAGAGATACCCAACTTCAGATGAAATGCTGAATAAGTCACTCAAAAAAGAAGTACTGTATGTTTTTAACACGGTACTGTACCTTAAAACACGGTTGCAAGTTGTGATGTATTGTAGAAGGTTCTACATGGTATGAAAAGGAACTTTACTTTAACAACTGAATAAACAATACCAAGTGGTTGATTAGGCGGTACTTTGTGAATTGAAAAATTAAATATGTACAAATACTATATGTAATGGATAAAAAAAATATTTGGGAAATTAAGTGTGTAGTAGATACGAAAAGTACCGGTACTATATCCCCTTGACTCCAGGTCCAGATCAGCACAGGACTCGGCAACGTGACGGAGGCGCTGCAGTCAGAGCGGGCCGAGATCGCATTTTATCTTTTCACCAACGGGTCCGTCATCCGCGGAAACCTGACGGAACACTTCAAATACACTAACATGCTGCTCGACGAACTCAAGTGGCCTGTCTTCCGTCAAGAACACGAACTTTTCAATAACAAGATCCTCTTCCGAATTCGCCTCGATGACTTCAGGGATAAAATCACTAAGTTCGACACCCCGTCAGTCCAGGCCGGGATTGCTTTCTACAACAAAGCCAACTACATCTTCTTAGATCAGGTTTGGTTTTCATTGGCCGTTTTATTGATGCACGACTTATGACTGCAATAATAACTTCCCTAATGCACTGATAAATAAATCTTCAGTTTTCAGTTATCTCTAAACATATTTCCTGCTTTATTATGTGTTACGTGTTATTTTTTGGTCCTTTGAAAGAATAACATATTTATCTTTTTATTACAATAACCGGAGGCCCTGATGTTATTCAGATACAATCTCACGAGACAAGGAAACTAAAAAACATACAAATTACGGTACACTCTGATATTTATATATTCACATTTACCAAACACTTATGATCCACAGTTAACGAGCGAGATTAATGAGAAGGACGCAGCCGGGGTGTGGAGGCCGCTGCTGGCCTATAAGAATATGATACGCGCCATCGAGCATCTGGGCATCTCCATGGTGTTCGGCCTCCAATACTTCGGTCGAGGAGCGCTGAACCAGAAGAGTTATATTGCCTTCGTCACCAACGACGCTCTGGGATACGATTTTCTCAACACCAGTCAAAACTTCGAATTCTGGATTACTGACAGGTACGTGGTCGGTCAGAAACTAAGATGAAACTCTTGGTTCATGTTTTAAGCAATAATTTTAATGTTTTGGTTATTATGTAACTTTAAAAGGGACTACATAATTTACAAAAAACTTTCAGAACAACACCTAATTACCATATATATGATAAAAAGTAATAAGTAATAATAAATAAAAATGTATATAGCTATTGCACACCTACATCTATATGGTGTAAACAAGCTACATAAAATTGGGAGAAATGTAATAATTACAGCGATAATATATGCAGAGCCGACACCAGTTGTCTCGAACAAATTCCGCTTGCAGTAATATCAGCGTCTTCCTTCCTTCTCTCAAACAAGAAAAAATCACAACAGAGGTGCGGGTACAGGAAGCTCGTTCTGATTCTGCTGTAAATTGGAGAAGACAATTTTGCCTTACTAACATTCTGCAGAGTCTTAGAAGCCTCGACTGTTGGTGATCAAACAATGATTCTTAATACTAGGGTCGTGAGGTGTGTCTTAGAGGATTTTGCAAAATTATGGTCAAAAGAAAGGCCATTTTTTTATGTTGGCGTATGAGGCACTATCAGCTATAAAAAGAAAGTAAAGAATCACTTTACGCTATGAAATGAAAGCAACGAATCACTGCTAGTTATGAAACACACACACAAAAACAAACCAGGTTGGTCCCAGGACGTAGTTTTCATACAGCTCTCACCAAGCATTTACAAACCATTATTAATACAGGTCGATCCCTCCACAGACGCCTCCGTAACTCTAGACTTTTAACACTTTCATCAGATACAAGAACCTGCAAGAGAGCTATGCCTGGTATGCCAACATCACCCGCCGCCGCCTGGAGGTCCTCGGCCGCACCAAGATCGACCCCGACTTCGACAAGGCCACAGAGTACTTCTACGCCATGCTGGGTTACCTCGACGCCCTCCAGAAAATCCAATATGAAATACGGTAAGTTGAACTTATTGCTCCACCATCCTCTCAAGAGAATATTGTTCCACCGTCCTCTCAGAGAACATTGTTCCATCATCCTCTCACGAGAATATTGTTTCACCGTCCTCTCAGAAACCATTGTTCCATCATCCTCTCACGAGAATATTGTTCCACCGTCCTCTCAGAAAACATTGTTCCATCATCCTCTCACGAGAATATTATTCCACCGTCACCTCAGAAAACATTGTTCCATCATCCTCTCACGAGAATATTGTTCCACCGTCCTCTCAAGAGAACATTGTTCCACCGTCCTCTCAGAAAACATTGTTCCATCATCCTCTCACGAGAATATTGTTCCACCGTCACCTCAGAAAACATTGTTCCATCATCCTCTCACGAGAATATTATTCCACCGTCACCTCAGAAAACATTGTTCCATCATCCTCTCACGAGAATATTGTTCCACCGTCCTCTCAGAAAACATTGTTCCATCATCCTCTCACGAGAATATTATTCCACCGTCACCTCAGAAAACATTGTTCCATCATCCTCTCACGAGAATATTGTTCCACCGTCCTCTCAAGAGAACATTGTTCCACCGTCCTCTCAGAAAACATTGTTCCATCATCCTCTCACGAGAATATTGTTCCACCGTCACCTCAGAAAACATTGTTCCATCATCCTCTCACGAGAATATTATTCCACCGTCACCTCAGAAAACATTGTTCCATCATCCTCTCACGAGAGAGAACATTGTTCCACCGTCCTCTCAGAGACATTGTTCCACCGTCCTCTCAGAGAACATTGTTCCACCGTCCTCTCAGAGAACATTGTTCCACCGTCCTCTCAGAGAACATTGTTCCACCGTCCTCTCAGAACATTGTTCCACCGTCCTCTCAGAGAACATTGTTGTCCTCTCAGAGAACATTGTTCCACCGTTCCACTCTCAGAGAACGTTGTCCTCTCAGAGAACGTTGTTCCACCATCCTCTCAGAGAACGTTGTTCCACCGTCCTCTCAGAGAACATTGTTCCACCGTCCTCTCAGAAAACATTGTTCCACCGTCCTCTCAAGAGAATATTGTTCCACCGTCCTCTCAGAACATTGTTCCACCAACCACCATCCTCTCAGAGAATATTGTTCCACCGTCCTCTCAGAGAACGTTGTTGTTCCACACCGTCCTCTCAGAGAACATTGTTCCACCGTCCCTCTCAGAGAACATTGTTCCACCGTCCTCTCAGAGAACATTGTTGCACCGTCCTCTCAGAAAACATTGTTCCACCGTCCTCTCAGAGAACATTGTTCCACCGTCCTCTCAGAGAACATTGTTCCACCGTCCCTCAGAGAACATTGTTCCACCGTCCTCTCAGAGAACATTGTTCCACCGTCCTCTCAGAGAACATTGTTTCCTCTCAGAGAACATTGTTCCACGTCCTCTCAGAGAACGTTGTTCCACCGTCCTCAGAGAAACGTCCTCAGAGAACGTTGTTCCACCGTCCTCTCAGAGAACGTTGTTCCACCGTCCTCTCAGAGAACATTGTTCCACAGAGAACGTTGCACCGTCCTCAGACATTGTTCCACCGTCCTCTCAAGAGAACATTTTTCCATCATCCTCTCAGAGAACATTGTTCCACCGTCCTCTCAGAGAACATTGTTCCACCGTCCTCTCGGAGAACATTGTTCCACCGTCCTCTCAAGAGAATATTGTTCCACCGTCCTCTCGGAGAACATTGTTCCACCGTCCTCTCAGAGAACATTGTTCCACCGTCCTCTCAGAAAACATTGTTCCACCGTCCTCTCAAGAGAATATTGTTCCACCGTCCTCTCAGAGAACAGTGTTCCACCAACCACGATCCTCTCAGAGAACATTTTTCCATCATCCTCTCAGAGAACATTGTTCCACCGTCCTCTCGGAGAACATTGTTCCATCGTCCTCTCGGAGAACATTGTTCCATCGTCCTCTCGGAGAACATTGTTCCATCGTCCTCTCAGAGACCATCGCCACAACCCACTATAACACTTGGTTGATAATATACAGTACACAGTGTTATGCTTCATTATTGTTATTATTCGTCATTCGTTAACTGTTCCCTATTTCTTGCCTTTGACCAGCAATTTGTTCAGTAGTACGGAAATCTAATGATTGTTCCATATTTAACAGAGGAGCTTCACTATATTTACACTTTATCATTGTTATTATTCTGTACTGTCGTGGCTTCATTCAATCTTCTATTTCATGTCCCGACATCTATCTCTTTAGCACTGTATGTCACACACACACACACACACACACACACACACACACACACACGTCAATCAAGAAACCCATTCCCCAATTATGCAACTGTATATTTTCAGCCTTCCGGCTGCCATGCTCTTTCAATAAACCGTCTATTATTATTATTATTACTATTAATTAAGTACACACACACTCCTTTTGGTATACACGCTCAGAGGGTCCTTGTGCACCGGACAAGCACACTGTTTCTCAGCCGTGGATATGGTTAGTTAAACATTATAAGTCATACATTATAAACTGTGACAGCTACACACGACGAGAACTACATTGTCACTGAATACAGGGTCTGCTACTATAATTATTCCATGTACTGTTAATTATTGTACTTCTATACCAGGCAAAATTCCTGTAGATCTAAAAATAATCACAGCTGTTCAACTTCAGGGTCACAAACAAAACTAGAAGTACATTAAGGTAATTTTTTCATAAACTGTGAAGCAATATTAACCTGAAGCTTGTGTCTGGCTTACTGTGTAGACATGTGATCGAGCGGACGCTGGTGTCTGAAATGAACGCGTCTAACAGCCATGTGGTGATAGGCATCGCTCTGCTGTGTGTGGTGCTGCTCATCTCGCCTGTCATCATCCTACTTGTGCGCATGATGACCCGAACACTACAGGTGAGACACCTGGACGCTGACGTAGCCACCTGACACATTAGTTAGCCCCAGTTGTAGCTCTCACTGACCCTCGTGGGCTTCATCATCTTGTCACTAGCATAAAGCTCCCCACTCGGGTGAACCATAATATACTGAAATATTACTTCAAATACTGTATTCTTATAGCGAGGAGTAAATTACTCTTATGCATCACTTCCTAACCCTGTTGTTCACTTTTGTTCTACGAAGAACTTTCAAAGTTCATCTCTTTCAGCAATTTCTCCCCTTAAAATTATTTACCTCCCCTATCGTGATTTAGTTTACTTTATCATAACAGGGCCTCTTGTGGTCATGTAACACGCCTAGGTTACCACGAGATAACTCACTCAGATTAAACGATACTTTTAGCGATAGGCAGGATGATGTTTTATTTTCACTGATTGTAGCTATTTATAAAATACTAGCATAGTCATGTGTAAATGTGTAAACATTAGCTATCACTGATAAAGAAAAACACCATACTTAAAGTGGAGATTTAAAATTAAAAGTACCTGATATATCGGTTTATCTTTGGTAATAAATTTTCGCAAGGCAAAAATAGTTTATGTGTTGGCTGTTTGAACAATCGGGATGTATAAACCGTTTATAAATTAGCTGACCTCTTACTTTGCCGTAATATTAAACTTTGTTGTTACAATCCTGTAAATAAGATGACGGAGGTCCCCATTGTCCACACAGCCTCACTCACTTGGTGACAGTCATTGATTCAATCTCTTAAAATTCTTTTCATGTTGGGGCAAGTGACTCGGTAATTTTGGTCGATGTTAGGTGTTTTTAGTTAACGTTCAGAGAAATCAATAAATTTCTATGTTAGTGTATGTTATGTTAGGGTGCATTATTGGTGGCTTAGTAAACACATCGGTGTTAATTATTGTAGAATTTCTGTGTAGCTGTTTGGTGCTTTTCTTGTTATGAGTGTTGTAATATGAATATGAAATCGATGGATATACAGTATTTAATGATAGTATTTTTTACATATACACGACTCTCTCATTGGCTGGCAGGACTAACTATGTTATACCTTCTCTAAATGCCATTAAACCCGACCAGTTTTCTGATAAACTAATCGTCCCTTCTGCAGGCGTTTTCAGATACACTCATCCACAAGACCCACGAGTTAGCCTACGAGCAAAAGCGTTCCGACACGCTCCTCTACCAGATGCTGCCGCCCTCCGTCGCCCAGCAGCTAAAGCAACACCGGGACGTGTCAGCCGAGACCTACGAGTCGGTCACTATCTATTTCTCCGACATTGTGGGTTTCACCGAGCTGTCTTCAGAGAGCACCCCCATGCAGGTGTGGCTCTTGGTCAGGGTAGGGGCGTTAGCTAGAGGCCCGTGATGACATATTTGTACTACAAATTGTGTAATTTTCACAATGTACACCATCAGTTTTGTTGTTTCTACACTAAGTGAGAGGTAGAGGGGGGAAGTGAGTGGTGGAGGAAGCGAGTGGTGGAGGAAGTGAGTGGTGGAGGAAGTGAGTGGTGGGGGAAGTGAGTGTTAGGGGAAGTGAGTGTTGGGGGAAGCGAGTGGTGGAGGAAACGAGTGGTGGATGAAATGAGTGGTGGAAGAAGCGAGTGATAGAGGAAGTGAGACGTGGGGAATTGAGTGGCGGAGGAAGTGAGTGGCGGAGGAAGTGAGTTGTGGAGGAAGTGAGTGGTGGAATAAGTGAGTGGAGGAATAAGTGAGTGGTGGAATAAGTGAGTGGTGGAATAAGTGAGTGGTGGAAAATGTGGGTGGTGGAAAATGTGGGTGGTGGAAGAAGTGGGTGGTGGAAGAAGTGGGTGGTGGAAGAAGTGGGTGGTGGAAGAAGTGGGTTAGGGTGGTGGAAGAAGGGTGGTGGAAGAAGTGGTGGTGGAAGAAGGGTGGTGGGAAGTGAGTTGTGAGGAACTGAAGGTGGAGGAAGGAGCTAGTGGAGGAAGAAGGGGTGGAGGAAGAAGTAGGTGGTGGAAGAAGTGAGTAGGAGGAAAAGAGGGTGGAGGAAGTGAGTAGTGGAAGAAGGAGGAGAAAATGTGGCAGGAAGAAGTGAGTTGTGGAGGAAGTGGAGTCAGGAGTGAGTGGTGGGAAGAAGTGGTGGTGGGGAAGTGAGTGGTGGTGGAGGAAGTGTGAGTGGAAGAAGAGAGTGGTGAGAAGAGAGTGGTGGAAGAAGGAGGATAGGAAGAAGTGAGTTGTGGAAGAAGGGTGGAGAAGGAATTGTGGAAATTAGGAGTGAGTGGTGAAGGATGGGTGGTGGGGAAGTGGTGGAGGAAGAATGGTGGAGGAAGAAGTGGGGTGGTGGAAGAAGGGAGTAGGAGGAAGGAGTGGTGAGGAAGAAGTGGGAAAATGGGGTGGTGGAAGAAGGGTGGTGGAAGGGAGTGAAGTTGGGTGGTGGAGGAAAGAGTTGTGGAGGAATTGAGCGGGAGGAAGTGAGCGGTGGGAGGAAGTGAGCGGTGTGAGGAAGTGAGCGGTGGAGGAAGAGAGTGAGTGGTGGGAGGAAGAGTGAGGGAGGAGTGGTGGAAGGAAGTGAGGTAGGAGGTGGAAGAGAGTGGTAGGAAGAGATGGGTGGAGGAAGAGAGTGGTGGAGGAGAGCGGTGGAGGAGGAGTGAGGAAGGAAGTGGTGGAGGAGGGGGTGGAAGAAGTGAGTGGTGGAGGAACAGAGGGTGGAGGAACAGAGTGGTGGAGGAAGAGAGTGGTGGTGGAGGGAAGTGAGTAGTGGAGGAAGAGTGGGTGGAGGAAGAGAGGTGGAGGAAGTGAGCGGTGGAAGGAGTGGTGGAGGAAGGAGGAGTGGTGGAGGAAGGGTGGTGGAGGAAGTGAGCGGTGGAGGAGTGAGGAAGGAGCTGGGGAGTGGAGGAGGAAGAGAGTGGGTGGGAGGAAGAGAGTGGCGGAGGGAAGTGGTGGAGGTGGAGAAGAGCGGTGGAGGAAGTGAGCGGAGGAAGTGAGCGGTGGAGGGTGAGCGGTGGAGGAAGAAGTGGAGAAGTGAGGTGGAGGAAGAGTGGTGGAGGAAGGAGGGTGAGTGAAGGGAGGAAGAGAGTGGTGAGGAAGAGAGTGGTGGAGGAAGAGAGTGGTGGAGGAAGGAGTAGGGAGGAAGAGAGTAGAGAGTAGTGGGGGAAGAGAGTGGTGGAGGAAGTGAGTAGTGGAGGAAGGAGTAGTGGAGGAAGAGAGTGGTGGAGGAAGTGAGAGTAGGGAAGAAGGAGGGAGAAAATGGGTGGTGGGAAGAAGGGGTGGAGGAAGGAAGTAGGAGGAAGTGAAGTCGTGGAAGAAGCTGAGGAAGCGAACAGGAGAAGTGAGTTGGAGAAGTGAGGTGGAAGAAGGAGTGGTGGAGGAAGTGAGGGGAAATGAGTGGTGGAGGAGGAGTGGTGGGAAGAAGGGTGGTGGAGGAAGGGTGGTGGTGGAAGGGGTGGGAAGGAAGTGGGTGGTGGAGGAAGTGGGTGGTGGAAGAAGTGTGGTGGAAGAACTGAGTGGGGAAGAGAGTGGGGGAGGAAGTGAGTGAGGAGGAAGTGAGTGGTGGGGGAAGTGAGTGGTGGGAGTGGAAGTGGGGGGAAGTGAGGAGTGGTGGGGGGAAGGTGAGGATGGGGGGGAAGGGAAGTGAGGTGGTGGTGGGGAAGTGAGTGATGGAGAGAGGTGAGGTTTGAAGGAAGTTGTGGGGGAAGTGAGTGGGGAAGGTGGAGTGAGGGGAGTGAGGATGAGGAAGTGAGTGAGTGGGAGGAAGGAGTAATGGAGAAGTGAGTGAATGGAGGAGGGAGTGGATGGAAGTGAGTGGTGGGGAATGGAGGGGAGTGGTGGAATGAGTGATGAGGAAGTGAGGTGGGGAAGGGAGTGGTGGAGGAAGTGAGTGGTGAGGGGAGTGGAGTGAGTAGGGGAAGTGAGGGGGAAACTGAAGGATGGAGGAAGGAGTGGAGTAGAGGAGGGAGTGAGAGAGGAGGGAGGAGTGGTGAGTGGGGGTGGGGAGTGGTGGGGAAGTGAGTGGTGAGTGGGGGTGAGTGGAGGAGTGGGGGAGTGAGTGGTGAGGGAGTGAGTGGTGGAGGAAGTGAGTGGGGGAGAAGTGAGTGAGTGGGGGGAAGGAGTGGGAGGAAGTGGAGAAGTGAGGAGGAGCAAATGAGTGGAGGGAAGTGGATAGGGAAGTGAGTGGAAGGGAGGAGGGGGAAGTGAGTGGTGGGGGAAGTGAGTGGTGGGGTAAGTGGGGGGGGAGTGGTGGGGAAGTGAGGAGGGGGAAGTGAGTGGTTAGAATGGGGTTTGTGTCTCTCAAAATGCCGAGACGATGACCCAGATATCAATAATATAAGCTCAAAACTATCATACTAGGACTGTACTGCATTAAAGACAAAGTATTGGAATGTTCTGATGAAAAGGTGGTCCGGACACCCAGGACCCTCTCCCTGTTATATTATATCTCAGACACTTTGTGAGCTAACACTTGAAAATTGGACGCACTAGTGACAGCTTGGCTTTTGGGTGAGGGAGGGGGACTCATGGTTCACTGTCTTCCTACCCTATTCCGGTGTACGGACCAGAAGACCTCCAGACCAAGTTACCCAGACAACAAGTTACCCAGACCAGAAAAAGTACCAGAAAGTATACGAAACGATAACTTGCACATGTGCAGTTGATGTGCATAGAACCTAATACAACCTGACCTAACAAAACCCATTGCTTGATGGATGTCAACCTCAATGTTATAAGCGGTTTAACGCATAATAGTTTCAACAAAACCAAACCTTATTGGGTTTGTTAGGGTCAGGTTGTATTAGGTTCTATGCGACGCATCAACCAATGCATGTACAGTTACCGTTTCGTACACTTTCGGTCCGGGTAACGTCTGGTCCGCTACACCGGTTCAGGTGTCGTGCGAAGCTTAGGGCGGTTATGCAGGGAACATACCACTACCCTGTACGTACTTGTTAATGTTTCAGTTGTGCAGTTGTGTACATTTGAAGGCTTCATATTCATAAATTATGATGATGCATAATTTTAAGATAATTTCCTTTGTGGAACAAATATTCAGCATTTTAGAATGTGAACCAAGCATATTTAAGGGACGGCAGTCCTTTATGCACGGGCCAACCAGCAGTCAAACCGGACTACAGACTCGCCTTGCACCCCAGATTTTTGGCAAGGTTGACCACTATTGGGTGCAATTGCCAAGGAATGAAACCGTGAAACATGCACCTCAGAGGTGGATATAACAGCAAAATAGTGCCCAAACACATCGGTGGTTAAGATGAATTTAGAGTTCGCCAAAGGTTTTCTTAGATGGCAACAAGGAGCGAATGGTCTGCAGTCGAGTATGTAATATTGAAGATTGTGTTTCCTATTTTCACCACAAATTCAACAAGGATTCCTTACATGGCCAATAGCATTGACTGATTCTGGCGGCAACTACGTCACTGAGCTGAGTCAGACATTTATTCTGGCCGTATTGGTATTTTTTGTCACAATTTTTATCATATGGCGAACACTAACAGTAGCGCCTCGCTGTTCATTTCGTTCTTTGTTTATAATTTGAAGATCGGCTTTCTTGATGAGCGTCCTCGACCAGCAGCTATGGTTAATTAAAGCGTCTCCGTGGATAGGGAGGGTGCGGGTGAACCAGCATATTTTTATTATACTTGTGAGTTAACAACCTTAGCGAACACAAGTAGTGGTAAGTTCAATGAACACCTTCCTGTACTTGATGCGACGCCTGGAAATGGAATGTGGGAAGGGGGGGGTTCAATATGAATACAAAACGCAAACGATTTATATATGCCGGGGGTCCAAAGTGGCAGAGCCCCTATGTTAGGTTAGGTTAGGTAATTTTTAGGTCATTTACGAGGGAAACGTCATCGAAGAAAAGTGTCTTAGAATTGTTTAAACTATTGGTTGCAAATATAAAGATCCTTCGATTCACGTGTTGTCGGAAAGCAAAACTTTACCCAATGTATTACACTTTGATAGCGTCTTTATTTGGTATATATATTCTAATATCAACATGCCAATATTTTCAGTTAAAGTTAACTCATCTGTTCGTTTAGGTTAATAATGTTTGTGTAAGTAACATGGAGCTGTTTCCCTTCAGGTCATCTCTCTACTTAATGCTCTTTACAAGATGTTCGACTCCCGCATTGAGCTCTACGATGTCTACAAGATAGAAACCATTGGTGAGATCTACATGGTGGCCAGTGGTGTGCCGCAGAGAATAGGTAAGTTGACGAGGCGTAGTGCATGCATGCAAAGTTTTATTAATATCATATAAAATAGGATAAAAAGTTAAATAAATAATTAGTTATCTGAAGTCAAAATGGTTGTAGAAAGGGAAGATGAATTAGGCGAGGCATACATCTTTGGTTTGAGAATTTTAACCACTAACGGGGCCCCCCTCTCTGCTGAATAAAATCGTCTGTGTTAGCCAAATAAAATAGTAAAACTGGCGTCCCCGTAGTGAAGGGGGTTAAATGGAAGGGTTTTAAGATACAATACTGAAATTTGGTACAGTACGCATATGCAGAAAGTTCCGAAAAGACCCACAAACTTCTAAATCGGGGGAGTGGACAGAAGTAATATGAAATCCACATACGTCTCTATTGAACATGTAATGCTTTTGCACTTTGCTTTGCACAGGATGTAAGTGGGTGCTAAATAATGTTCGTGTCTGCGCGTGGGTAAATCTGAAAGACCTGAAGCTGATGTTATGATGCATTACTAAGCTTCAACAGCTAAAGTCTTTAAGGGCATTAACAATTTTATTTACTGCACACAAGTCCATCAACAATTAAAAATGATGGGATAAACTTCTGTTACGAAATTTAAATATTTCGCTTTGTTTCTTGTGTCGACTGTAACTAAGTGATATTATATACGGTAAATAGAAGTACAGTATAGGATAACTGATAACAAGAAGTAATCCTAGAAACCATAATAAACTTTAAATATTTTGTGATAAATTATTTCTGCAGATATACCAGAAATAAACGAGTTTCCCTCGGCAACACCCACATTTTTTCTTTACAAGGATTTTTGTATGGTGTTCCAGAGCATTGTGCATAATATGAGTTCCACTGATTACTGAATATTATACTATTATACACTATATTATCAATGTGTAGCTCATCATACAGAGGTTGTATTAGTCCTCAATGTAGAGTGTACTTCTCCGTTAGGCAAGGACCACGCGGCGGAGATCGCCTCTATGGCCCTCGACCTTCTTCACGGCACGGAGAATTTTCTCATCCCTCACATGCCCGGGGAAAGGATCCAGATAAGGATGGGGGTACATTCTGGACCAGTGGTGGCTGGTGTGGTGGGCACTAAAATGCCGCGCTACTGCCTTTTCGGGGACTCCGTCAACACCGCCTCCAGGATGGAATCTACTGGACTGCGTAAGACACATTCGGGATTCTTATTCATTTTTTTTTTTATTATTATTATTATTTGACGAGTGATTTGGAATTCTTAGTTGAAACTATTTCACATGTTAAAATTCTGAACGTAATGGTTGATCATTCTTTTAGTTAGTAATAATTTGGACTTCATAAGAAAACTATACAAATAATATATTTTGCTATTGTAATTTAATATGAACACAGAAAAAATATTTTTTGCGACAAAAAAGCGGTAATTAGAGCAAAATAACAGGAATATATTATCAGGTGAGGTATTAGTTGTTAGAGCGTTGTGTGAGCCCCCGTAGTGATGATGATGAATGGTGTATGCAGTCTTAGCGGCAATATTTATATTTTCACTTCATCTTTATCTGTTGTTGTGATAGCATACTGCAACTACATTTAAGCTGTCAGTAATACCTCATTCGTAAGAAATTAAAAACAAGCGTGTCATTTATTGATTCATATGTGCCAAGAGTGTAGAGACAATGAGAATCGTTGTTAGACAGGATGTGACTAGGCCTTAGCTGGCTGAAATCATGTTCTACGGTATAGTGTGATGATAAATGAAAGAAGTTCAGTATTGTCGTGAGAATATGATACTTGTATTAATTTTGAGATCATCAAAGGTTGATATATATATAACATAAAATATAAAATAATATGAAAGATTATAAGGTTTATAGAACGAAGTAAATGGATCAATGCGATGGGACAAAAACTCACCTGAGCTAAAACTCACCGGACAGGTTGTGTTATAACATAATTAACTTCAGATTAGGTTAATTGGGTATTGTTAGGTTAAGTTAGTAGTGTCCGGTGAGTTTTCGTCCTACCCCCAGGATTATCAGATAAATTAAAGACATACCTGTAAATATATAACACAGATGAAGCGTACCATGTATTATCACAGACTATATAGTACAATATACTGTAGTCACTATACCATAATAAACACATAGTAAGCCTGCCCTGGTCTTCACTGAGAAGAATGGAAAATCGTTATCTATACAGTATTACAAATTGGTTTATGGGATTAGAGAACCAAAAATATATTTATTGATAAATAAATTGTTATATAGACGTACTGTAAGTCGATTAATAAAGGCAGAAAACAAGAATAGAATACAAATATATAAAAAAATACAAGGCAAGTTGCAATAACATTCAGCTGGTCCTGGAACCCTGCTGCAGATATACAGTATATAGTACAACTGTTACATTTTGTGCTGTAGTGAGTTGTTATTAATACCGTGACCACTGTTTCGTGCCACAGCCTTCAAGGTGCACATCTCCTCCGACACCAAGAACGCGCTGGACCGAGTGGGAGGATTTATCGTCAAACTACGTGGCGAGATGGAGATCAAGGTGAATCTTTTGACTTTTATGTAGTTGAATATTTTCTTTAAATATCCTTGGTATATTGTACAGGTATAATTTTAGACTATTTAATCTAGACTTGATGTCACGGGCGCTAATCTGCAGGGACAATTTGGGTAGGGTTTTGGACCCAAATTCTGGAACAGGGTGGCAATATCGACAATATATACCTAGATTATGCCAAAGCTTTCGACAGCGTACCCCATGAAAGGCTGAAAATTAAATTGGAAGGGTACGGGAGTCGGGGAAGTGTCCTAGCACGGATCGGAGACTTTCTGCATGATTGTAAGCACTGTGTGGTGATTAATGGTACGAAATCGTCATGTGTACACGTGACAAGCGGGGTACCACAAGGCAGTGTATTAGGCCCGATTTTTTTTTTCATAAATGACATGCCAGAAGCTATACACTCCTCCATACAAATGTTTACCGACGATGCCAAGTTATTTAGGGAAATTAAGAACCAAACAGACTATGAAGATCTGCAGAAAGATCTCTGAGCTTCAAGAATGGTCGAAGAAATGGCTGCTAAGATTCATGTCACGAAGTGTAAGAGGATGCACCTAGGACGTACCAATGGTAAAGAGGTGTATCATACAGTATGTCCCAACGGAACGAAGAAACTGCATTAATAGAAACTGAATGTGAAAAGGACCTGGGTGTGTATGTTGACAATGAACTGAAGTTCTCGGGCAATTGTGAGAAGGTGAATCAAGAAAATAAATTATTAGGTCTTATAAGAAGGTCGTAACGATCTCCAAGAGTGAGGTGCTTCCCCGCTTGGAGTACTGTCACCCCGCCTGGTCCCCGAGATATGCTAGGGACTGTCAGTTGATTAAAAATGTCCAAAGGAGGGCCACCAGACTGGTGCCTGCACTTAGGCACCTCAGCTATCCAGACAGATTAGAGCGCCTGCAACTGCTTAGCTTATACTACAGACGGGCAAGGGTCTAATAGAGGTGTATAAACATCTCAAATGACACTTCTCAGTCGAGCGTCCATACCTGGAGCTGGCACAAGGGGTCACCGCTCAAGGTTAAAGAAGCCGCAAGTCCAGAAAAATGAGGGCGAACTTTTTCGGAATGAGAGTTGTGAGCTCTTGAAACAACCTGCCAGAGTGTGTTGTGACGGCGCCTAGTATGAACTGCTTCAATACCAGATTTGACCAGCACTGGAGCAGGTTCAGATACATTCAGGAGCCAGTACATGCCCAGCACTTGCCAACAGTGAGTAACAGAGACGTGACCAACTGCCCAAGCGGCTACCGGTAATTTATTCATTAACATGACGCAGTAAAACTCGTCCAGCGTTAAGTTAATTTTCTTCATGGATCTACAGTAATGTGTCACTCAATGGTAGTTCTAAAATCAGATATGAGGCCACCGCAGTAGTAAGGGCACAAGTGACATTTTTTTTTTAAATAGAGAAAAGGGCGACTTTCGTGAATCACCCACCTTTACATGGGGGGCCTACCTGCCTTGCTGGTTGTAATTTTTTGGTCATTACGAAGCCTTTTTTGAAACATTACTCTTCCACATGTGAGGCCTGTACGGATGTTTACGGCCCCGTGACAGCCCAGCCTTGGGTTCAATTCGCCTCACTTTCACTCACAACAGGTGTTGGTTCATCCACATACGACACACTTTGTGACAGAGGAAACCTTGTTGAAACTTGTTGTGATGGTAACTCACTTTCGGGCGTGGTGGCGCTAGCGCCTTTACTAAATCCCGGGACTGGAAGCCCAACTAAAGCTTGCACATGTAAAGGTTTAATGGTGTCACCACTGCCATATGTTTTTTATTAATAAATAGACACATGTAGTATAGTTGGCCGCTTCCAGGCTGAACCCTTCTAACAATTCTTAATTTTCACATGACGTCACATACTCCCATAATGTAATGCGTCTATACCTACAAGATGGTGGACTGCGCAAGGGATTATGGGAGTTGTGACGTCAATGCAAACTAAAAATTGCTGAACCTGACCTTCAAGCTGTCCCTTCAGAACGGTTCATTTTTGTTCAGCAGATAAATCTTTCATATCGTGTACCACGGTTTTAAATAAGTCCCAAAGGATGTCCACTTTGTAGGGCAGCCCGAAAGAGATGATAACATGTAATTGTGGCGTCATCCGCAAACATTTGTATGGAGAAATGTACAGCGTCAAAATATCATTTATGAAGCAAACAAACAACAGCAGTCTCAATACACTGCCCTGTGGTACCCCGCTTGTGACGGGTACACATGATGATTTCGTGCCATTAATCACCACACACTGCTTGCGGTCCTGTAGAAAGTCTTCGATCCACGCTAGGACATTTCCCCGAATTCCGTGCCCATCCAGGTTAATTTTTAGCCTTTCATGGGCTACACTGCCAAAAGCCTTGGCAAAATCTAGGTATATATTGTCGATATTGCCACCCTGTTCCAGAATATGGGTCCAAATATCCAGTACAGTGAGTAATTGTGTTGAGCAGGAGCGCCTCGGCATAAAACCGTGTTGGCAATCCTTTTACAAGGTTGTTTCGTAGTAGATGTTCCATCCTGGCATCTCTTATAATGCTCTCAAGCACTTTACATGCTATGCTGGTCAGGCTCACCGGTCTATAGTTGTTCGTGGAGTGAGGATCGCCCTTCTTGAAGATAGGACTCACATAAGCCACTTTCCAATCACTGGGGACCATTTGTTCATCCAGGCATTTACAGAACAGGATCTTCAGGGGCTCGGCAAGCTCGTTGCACAGCTCTCTTAGCACTTTAGGATGCACCATGTCAGGGCCGGGACTCTTATGGACCTTTAGCCTGAACAGTTTATTTCTAATACCCTCTTCTGTGAACACAATGTGGGTCAGTGTTGTGTCGAACCGTCTGTCCTCAAACGCAGGAAGGTTAGTTGCATCCTCTCTTGTGAACACTGAAGAAGAGAAGCTGTTCAATGCCTCAGATTTATCCTGGTCAGAATTTGCGTAACAACCATCTTCAAGCCTCAGGTCTGATACTCCTACTCGCGTTTTCAATTTTGACTTTGCGTAGCGGAAACGCGCCTTTGGGTTTGACTTGACCTCGCTTGCAACCAGCCTCTGGAACTCCTTTTCAGCCCTTCTACACTCTATCTTTGCTTGGTTTCTGGCTCTTGCATACATCCTCCTGTCTTGCTCATCGTTTGACCCAACCCACGTCTTGAATTTCTGGGTTTTCTTCTTAATTTTGTCGACCGCCGCATGGTTCATGTGTAGAGATCCCCTCGTATTCTTAGAAGCACTGGGTTTGGTCTTGGGTATATATTTATCGATCAAATGGGTCATTTTACTAGTTATGATATTCAGCGTAGTGTCTGCGTTCTTGTACCTTAATAAGTCAGGCCAGTTAATACCCCTCATCTCTTCCCTCATCCCATTGTAATTTCCCTTGTAATATTTGCACCTTGGCCTGGCCTTATCTTGAACTAGGTAACAGTTAAAGCTGAATGACAACACTGTATGGTGACTGGTGCCAACTGGGGCAAGGTGTTCCAGTTTGGCCACCATACCCTCCTCGTTTGTTATGATGAGGTCAAGTGGCTTGGGTGTTTGCTCCCCTCTGTAATGTGTCGGGTCTCTCACATGTTGGAACAGAAAATTATCTCTGAGTTTCTACAAAAAGAGTAGCAGGGTTATTCAAGTCATTCGGGGTGGACTCGTTTCTCCAGTCGATGTCGCCATAGTTAAAGTCCCCCATGATAAGGAGGTGGCTAGGGTTGAGCATCGCCGCATTGTTTATTAAGGTTCTTAAGTTCCTTTGATTTAGTGGGCCACAGTTTGGGGATCTGTAGATACACCCGACGATAAGTAAGTCCCCTCCCTTTAATTTAATTTTACACCACTTGGACTCTTCAAAAACATCCTCTCCCTGTACCCTCGCCTGGCTGGCTCTAAGGTCTTGCCTAGCGTAGATAACCACACCCCTCTTGCAAGTTTCTTGAGATAGGTTCGTAAATGAGTCATATCCAGCAATACTGAACTCACATTCCTCTGGGTCGATTCTCCTGTTCTTGTACAACAGTTCTACAACTCCTACAATATCTGGTTGGTGTACTCTTAGTAGTGTTTCAAACTCCTCTCTCTTATCAAGGAACGTGTCAGTATTAGTGTACATGACATTCAAGCCAGAATTTGTTCTCGGTAACGTCTCTGCTCTTAGTAATAAATCCGCTCCCCCCACATTCTCAGAAGCTGCAGCATTTGCTAAGTACACTGTATTTTGCAGGGTGTGGTTAGAAATGTCATTGTTTGCAAGGGAAAAGCCATAGAAGAAAAGTGTCGTAGAAATTGTCTGAACTATTGATTACAAATATAAAATTCTCGAGATTCGTTTGGTGGCACCAAATGCAATAATATCAATGAAATTGAAATGTTTCATTGGCAATAAAAAAAAAAAATATTAAAAAAAAGGGTAGTATACTACTCCCACCCTCACCTTTGCCCTCCCTTTTGGGGCTTAAAAAAGTTATAAATGTTATAAAAATGCAAGCATTATCTTTTCAGTAATGAAATGGATCATTTTGACATGAACATTGTACTACATTAAAGGACAGATAATGTAATCTTACACAAAGTTAATGTCATACCCTTGGAGCAAAATTTTTAAACATTACAAGAATTATTTTAATCTTCCCATTATCAACATCCAACAAACTTGTTTTCCAAAGTAGCCATCTCACTTATAATATCAATAAATCGACATCAATTCCCGTGGTCCATAGGTCACTGGTTCGAATCCGGTTCGAATGATCATTTTGTGGAATCAAGTCTCAAGAGACTAAAAACTTGCTCTCAAAAATTATTAACACAGTTCTTTGTCGTATTATATTCCACCGCGGTAATATAACAAGAGTTAGTACTGTACGTGCTTTAAGACTGAAAATGCGAACCTTCCCTTCCGTAGCTTCGATTTCCTTTACCAATCTTTCCATGTCCGCAGCCAATGTGCGGGGATAAGTAAACTGATTTATATCATTACCCCCTAGTAGCAGATAAGTAATGTCAGCCTTATAATTCAATACAGCCTGGTACTGCTCGGTTGTTCAGATGATAAAAATTCTACCCCCCCCCCCTAACACGCAAATTATGGACGCATATTAACGGGACTATTTTGAAGAACCACGGGACGTGGATCCGGGCAAAGACTATAAACAATGTATGATCCTTGGATCCGAAACGTAGCTTTGTCCAAAAATAATCACCTTAGCCTGTTGCTCGTGAGAAATGTCTGCTATGGAATTCTTAAAGCTTTTCCGGCCTTCACGGGTTCATCACTTTGTTTGGAGCCGATGTTTTTTTTTATATCTAACCGACATTAACTACCAAACAAAACAAAACAGAAAGGCGACCTTTCCCGTTTCCTAAACAGAAAATAAAGGCAAACAGATACAATGAACACGTACCGAATATGAAGCAAATATAATAACACGGAAACAGGAAGAATGTAAAGGACAACGAGGGTGACTTTACGATGGGAGTCAGCAGTTTGACGATCAAAATATTCAAAAACTCACCAAATATTATTTAATTGCACTATGACAGCCTACGGAATTTGCAAATATACAAGGAGGACCATACTACTAATATCCAGTTCGACGAACCATTTTGTGGAATCTAATTTCTATAAATACATGAAACAAATTACACAAACACGTACCTGGTCACTGATGTTATCCAAACCCCTAAGTTTTCAAGGCTATTATCCTCAACAGTTGAAATAACGGACTGACGAGGAACATATGGATCACGATATAAATAATCTGCACTATTTTACTCCCAGATGAATTTTTTCAGAGTAATTATTGTAGTTAATGAAGGTGGCGGCAGTAGGGAGTGTCAAGTGGTGGTCACGAGATTGAGCGGACTGTTTGGTGTCTGAGCAAATTGACTCGTGAACCGGTGTTGCCAGACAAAAAATTAAGAAAATCTGAAAAACTTAATACAAAAATATCTGTAGAAATCCGTAGTCACTACAAATTATCTGTAGAAAAAATATGTAAATTTCGATGTTATTTTAAATGTAAGAAGTGTGGTCTTTTTTATCAATTTAAGCAAAGCTGAACAAAAACGAAGTAATTTAAGCGTAAGTAAAATAAAATTAAGGATATTTCGTTTTACTTTCTTCTTGTGCAGTAGGAGATAACAAAAAAAATCACTTACACATAGTATACAAACAAAACAAATAATTGTGAAATAAGAATTTTCTTGTTTATATAATGCTAATATTTATTAATTAAATTTGTATTGCAGAGACCTACTCAAACTCGTAGATCTAATATCGTATTAACAACAAAGACTATTTATTTATACTGTAGATACCATAAAACTTTATCTTGCGCTTGTGAGACCTAACTTGGATTGCGCAGTTCAGTTCTGATCACCGTACTACAGTCTACAGAATGAATAGAGAATTCCTAGAAAGAATTCAGAGGAGAATGACAAGACTAATCCCGGGCATTAGGAACATTGAGTACAGAGACAGGTTAAAGCATCGTAATTCGCACTCCGTCGAGAGATGTAAAGTGAGGGGCGATATGATCGAGGTGTATAAATGGAAGTCAAGGCTAAACAAAGGTGATATAACAAAGGTACTCAAACTATCCAACCAGGAGCGAACTCACAGCAATGGTTTTAAATTAGACAAATTTAGATTTAGGCGCGAGATAGGTAAACATTGGTTTGGAAATAGAGTAGTGGATGAATGGAACAAGTTACCAAACATCATCATTAACTCGATTACGCTGGATAGCTTCAAACTTAGGTTGGAGGGATATATGAGAGATAGGGGTTGGGTGTAGACAGGACTGCCCAGTGTGGGCCAATAGGCCCGCTGCAGTTTCCTCCATTCTTATGTTATTAGTAGCAGAAGCAGTACAGTGGTAGTAGCAGTAGTGCGTCATTAAATATGAATCACTGTTAAGTTAACACTTATGTGAAGTGACTATCACTGTCCTCTTCAGGGGAAAGGCTTCATGGAGACATACTGGTTAATTGGGAAACACGGTATTGTGGGCGACCGTCAGCCACTGCAGGAGAAGCAGGAAGAGATGGATGTTATGGCCGTCAACCCCCACAGCGAGAAGGTGAGTAGTACACGACCTTACACCCATTACTGATGAGTGTAAACTTTGTCTAGCTAACATATCTGACATAGACCAACCAAATGATGTTGTCCCTTTCTCTCTCTCTCGCTCTAATCTAATTTACAGCATAAATATATATATATATATATATATATATATATATATATATATATATATATATATATATATATATATATATATATATATATATATATATACTATACCGTACATGTCACCGATAATTGTGTGGCTTATCCTTAAATGGAAATAATTGCAAATTAAAGTTTATGAAACTTAAAAGTTTTAATTATTTTCACATTAACAGGTACGACAAGCCCAGGAAACAGACGTCACTCTCAGCGGATGCTCAGAATTTTTCGCAAAGTTCAGGTCTATCTGCTAGACGGCGGCGACGCAAGGCGGTCTCTCACCACCATCACCGTGATAACATTGGAACCTCTGGTAAACAACAAGTAAACAATGTTACACGACATCGCCTTTCTCTGTATTGAACAAAAACTGTATATTATGATAACAAGAGTAAAGATTCACTGATATTGATATTCAGTAATTTAAAAAGTCCAACGATTATCCTAACTCTCCCTAAAAAATTATGTCCTTCCTTATACTATATTTCATTAGCTCTACTGTACAGTAAAAAGTTGGTCATTCTGTGACATCGCTACTGTCTTCCTTCACTTCACCACTGTCATCCTTCACTACACCACTGCCATCCTTCACTACACCACTGCCATCCTTCACTACACCACTGTCTTCCTTCACTTCACCACTGTCATCCTTCACTACACCACTGTCATCCTTCACTACACCACTGTCTTCCTTCACTTCACCACTGTCATCCTTCACTACACCACTGCCATCCTTCACTACACCACTGTCATCCTTCACTACACCACTGTCATCCTTCACTACACCACTGTCATCCTTCACTACACCACTGTCTTCCTTCACTACACCACTGTCATCCTTCACTACACCACTGTCTTCCTTCACTTCACCACTGTCATCCTTCACTACACCAGTCTTCCTTCACTACACCAGTCTTCCTTCACTACACCACTACCTTTCTTCCCACTACCCAGTCTTCCTTCACTACACCTGCCATCCTTCACTACCAGTCTTTCTTCACTACACCAGTCTTCCTTCACTACACCACTACCTTTCTTCACTACACCAGTCTTCCTTCACTACACCACTGCCATCCTTCACTACACCAGTCTTCCTTCACTACACCACTGCCATCCTTCACTACACCAGTCTTCCTTCACTACACCACTACCTTTCTTCACTACACCAGTCTTCCTTCACTACACCACTACCTTTCTTCACTACACCACTGTCTTCTTTCACTTCTACATATCTTCACATCATCAATATCTTTCTTCACTGCGCCTCTTGTCTTCCTTTGCTGCCTTCCAATGTATTGTCGTGCTCCTATAGGATACCAGGTCCCTTATTGCACCATTATAAACCAACATGATTCCTTAATGACATGGAGACATCAAAGGAGTTTTATCCCTTAATAACACTTTGCCCTTTTTGATTTCTCTCAATTATATTTTATTTTTATAACAGTTTGTCTTTGGTAGTACCCATAGGTTTATCTATGGGCGATCTCCAGTGAGTTGCACCTGATATATCACCACCCGTCAATTCTGTCCAAAGTGTTTGATTCCGTCTCAGAGATTGCCTTTATGATCTGCGATATCTCTTACCCCTTAACATCCCTTGCCGACCTCACTCTCAGACTATAAACAGGAGCGTGTCAAAGGAGGAGGGCCAGCCGATACGCACCCCCTCTTATAAATTCTATAATACTAATTAAGGTCAGTTTTCTCAAAGTTAAGAACTTACAGGCTAGAGACATGATCACTGCAGCCTCACTACCAAAAGTTTTCATATTATGTCATATCAATAAAAATCTAAAGTTTAGATTCTTATACAGTAAAATTAGTTTAAAACCATTGCTTAGAAACTTTTAAGGATGAGTGTGTGTTTTTCTCGCAGTTACAATATATCTTCATATTGGCAATTTAAATGATGGCTAGTAACAAAGCTATCCTGCTTGGTGATTGACGATAAATGGTTATTGTTTAGAGTAATAATCCTCCTAACTTTTATGCTGAAAAAATTTGGTGCACTTACTAAGATAGTCAAAGATTAGTATGATGACATTCCTACAAATGCATAGTTATAGTCTGAAATGCTCTTTCAAAAACGGGAGAAGGCACAGCTGATAATGATCGGTGGGATGTGTCATATTTGGATAGTCTTGGTGTCGCACGTAATGGCCGATTTAGCCAGTTATTCATCCAGACAATTCTTGGGCTTTGTCTGTTGTCAAAGAATCTGTATCTGCCACATATTACTGCATGTGCACAGGGATATAATTAATTGATATTCTTGATTATGATAAGATTTTACATATGAGTACCATCGGACACCCAAGGACATGATTGTTTGCAAATTTACTCCTGTTCGTGGTTTAATATTACATATGACATGTATTCAGACCTGAAATTTCACTATATATTTTGTTATTAAAGTATTTTGTTTTTCAGATGTTAAGATAAAAAACACAGAAAGCGAGTGTGGATCTCACCCTTCAGGTTCTTAGTTAAATACTCGAGAAATCACCACACGCTTCACTTCTGTTTACCCACAATCCATGTGGTCCTACCTCTTGTATTTCTTTCCCCCTTCCCAAACTTTGCGTTAAAATCACCCAATTTAATCAGACATTCGTTAAACTTCACAGTGTCTTTTATCTTTTAACCTTTCCTAAAACTTTTTAAAACGTAATATGTTGGTGCATAAACCCATATTATTACCAATTCCATGGGTTCAGCACTAAACTTGACTAACAGAATTCTATCTGAAACTACCCAATATCCCTTTACACTACTACTTCTCAACTCCTGGTTTGCAAGAATACCAACACCTCTCTTCTGCTTTTCACCACCTGAATGTGTGGAGTAAAATTCTTCACCACTGATGGTATTCACACCTGTTCATCTTACTTCACTTAATCCCAAAATATTTCACTCTAACCTTTCATTTTCCTACAAACATTTACAAACTTCCCGCCCTCATTATAATGTCCTCACATTCCATGTTCTTATTTAGATTTTGGGGTTGTTAATTGTTAAGCTTTTTGTAGTTGTGTTTCATATCCAAGACTTTGTTTTGCTCGGACAGTACATGCTCGGTGGCACACTGTCTGCAAATACGGGATGTAAAGCGGTTTGGTCTTAATGGTGACTATGTTCATGGGCAAGAGTTCATGAGAATGAATGCCCCAAACCTTTCCATATAATAAGACAACTTAATACAGTATTAAAAAGAATTGGGATTGAGCTATGGGGGTTTGCGGTCGCTCATACCTCACTGGTAAAGGACCAGCCCATCACCATAATCCACTAAATAGGAATAATTGCCTAATAGTGATAACTTGCGTGTATTTTCACATTTTGGGAAGACTTCTGACTAGGCATATAAGATCATGGTGATCATCATAGAAATGAAGTTTCATAGAAGACCAACTAGCTTAATCCAACCTAATCGACTGTTACCTAACTTACCCTAACCTACTGAAGATATAATTTACTTACTTTTCTTTTACTTTTATCCTCTTCACCACTGATCGGCTCGTTAGCCGCTTGGGCGCTCGGTCATGGCTATCTACAATAATGATGGTAAACGGATGGTAAACGATGTCTTAAATGAAGAGAACAAATTTTACTATGTACAAATTTTTCATTAAGCTTCAGCAATGAAAATGAAAGGTTATCCGTATTTGACGAAAACGTCACTTGCTTTTTAAAACTTAATCAGTGTATTTTAAGTGGATAATTTCATAATATGTCCTCAAAGGCATCTGTTTTTCCATCATTTTGTCACTTATATAACTTAGTTACATTAAGTCATAGCCTTTTGAATTATGGATGTGAATGAGTCTTTTAAATCTAGAACTAAATACTTTCAATTTTCTATTAAGAAAATCAAAATTACAGTATCAACATCACATCAATCTCTCTATCCAGTTTATACAAAAATATTATCAGTCAACCAATATGATTATTGTCTCATCCTATTATAGAGATAATTAATCCACTCAACTTCATTCCTCTCTTTGAACATATGACTTAAGAGGCTCTACATTTCCCATGGCCCTTCTACAAGAAATGTGTCATATCAGTTGTAGACAATCCACACTGTGGCTCGGGGAACAAAAGTGAGTCCCATCTTCTGGGCAACTACTTCCTACCTGGGTGCAGCTGTACAGTACATCAGTTTACAAATGAGACTCTCCGTCCTATTCTCAACTACAGTAGTTCAGCATCCCACATGTCTTCCTCAATGACCAGTGGATTATATATGAATATCTGACATGGAAAATTCCATTTTATTGCTGTGGGGAACAAAAGAGTAAGTTTGTCCCCTTCCCATCTGTTGGCGAGGTTAGAAATCGGCAGGAACTGAAGTGACTCACATATGAACTTTTTCCATTACGACTCCAGGGGATTTGAAGTTCATGAACTAATGAAAAAATTCTGACTCCAGACCCTGAACCTCACGAAATCCTAGTCAAACAGATTCAAATGTGATGATTCGACCCTGATCCATTTAAGTGAAAAGTAAAGTTCACAGCAGAACCCATGCTAAACATTTTCGCATGCAAAGTTATTTTGAATTGTATATATGAATCCCGACCTCAAAATTTCCTCAGCCTAGGACTTTCACTTTCCTCAATAAGTATCCCCAAGAGAAACATTTATTTGAACCAATATCTCAGAGCAGCTACGTTGGTCAAGACTGTATCGGCCAAGGAGACTCAAGGATACATTTGTCAAGATGAATGATACATGACATTGGTCAAAGAGATTTAAGATTGTTATTGTATACAGTACTGTACATGATTTTTCAAATATTGAATTTTGTCTTCTCTCCCGTTCCTAATTTCGGTCAATTTAAAGTATCACACCGGTCTTTATTTGTAAATCAAAAATAGGTTTTTCCTGTGGTTTTTGATAAGTTTCAAACGAATTTTATATCCATTTCCTCCGGAAATCATTTTTTTTAGATACCCCCCAACAATAACGGAAAAAAATGGGATTTCTTTCTTTTTAGAATAAATCAAAGATAAGATACTAACCAACGAACAAAACCTAACCTAACCTAACCCCCATTCTTCATGCCCCCACATCTTACCTTAATCTGTAAAACTATTGTGACACCGCCAAATATGCCGTTCTTCACGCAGTGTACAGTACAATGATTATTACACTTTGAACAAAGTACTATATTCGGCAAAACACCGTGTTTTCTAAAAAAAAAAAAAAACGAAATTGCCTCACTATTTTTCTGGTGTAACTCTGCAATTGGCACAAAATAATCATTCTCACAAAGTCGGCACAGCTCTTCCAACTCAAATATCCACTTCCGACCCACCCACTCATTGTTCACTGGCTAAAACAAACAAATCTTACCCAATAAAAAATAATCCGATCGCAATAGCCAATAAGAAACTCCCACCTCAC